CAATCTTTTCGTTCAATTTGCCAAAATAATATTAACATGTTACGAGATGCTTATAAAACACATCGACAACATCCCAAACGTTTATCACACTACAAAGAAGTCATAACAAGAATGCTTCCTTGCTAAGAAAAAGATAAAAATCCTTCATTGTTTACCTGGTGTTGGTCTATGATTACCTGTGATCACATCATCTGGCATGTCTTCAAATTTGAGTCATTCGTTCACCTGACACTGACAGTGTGCATACCAATGCATACAGTCTGAGCCTGAAGTTCATTTTATGAGTCTTTTTTTTTTTTTTTTTTTTTGAGTCTTTCGTTTATCATGTGACAGCATGTAAAGAGGTGACTCAAAACCGAAGATTCAAGAAATAAACGGATCAAATCTTTTTCCGGCTCTGACTACATATGATTGGCTTCTGTCTTTCATGTGATGAACGATTAATTTAAACTGAGGACTCCAGAGATGAACACATCAAATCTTTTTCCGGCTCTGACTGCATATGTTTGGCTTCTGTCTTTCATGTGATGAACAATCGACTCAAACCCAACAGACAGAGGTCTCGAAAAATGCACAAATGTGCGCATGCATGCATGAATGAATGAATCACTCCCTGAGAGGACTCATCATTCTCGAGTCACAAACAGTAAAAGATTTGTTCAAAATTAACGAATCGTTCAAGAACAACCCATCACTAGATCTTATTCTCCATCCCTAATCTTGCCCAATAAACTCCACTACTACCTTGATAACAGTACATTAGTATTTAATTGAAGCTCCTCCTGGGTGATATAGCTATTCACTGTAAGGGTGAGCCCTGCCACCCTGCGAAGGAAACTCATTTCGGCTGGTTATATCTAAGATCTTGTCCTTCTGACTATGACCCAAAGCTCATGACCATAGGTGAGAGTAGGAACGTAGTTTGACCGGTATATCGAGAGCTTTGCCTTTTAGCTCAGCTCCTTCTTTACCCCAAAAAAAGGTACATCGACCAAATTACTGCTGCGGCTGCACCTATCTGCCTGCCAATCTCACGTTCCATCCTTCCCTCACTTGTGAACAAAACCCCAAGATACTTGAACTCCTCCACCTGGGGTAAGGACTTTCCTCCAACCTGGAGATGGCAAACCACCTTTTTCCAGTGGAGCACTATGACCCCAAACTTGGAGGTCCTAATTCTCATATCAGCCGTGCACACATTCGGCAGCAAACCGCCCCAGTGCTTGCTGAAGGTCCATGTTTGATGCAGCCAACAACACAACATTGTCTGCTTTTACATAGAATCCTCTGGTCCCTGAATCTGACAATGCTGTCATACGTTGTCTTATATTTGACAAACCATTTTGACAGTCCCATTGCTTTTATTTTGAAAGAGTATTGGAAAAATATTGACAATTTATTTGGAAAATTGGAACGTAAATAGAGTTAAAGTAGCGCACATTGTGTTCCCAAATTATTTCAATGTTAAATTGTCTCACAAAAGCAGCAGTTTCTCCACAAGGCCCCATTTGGGGAAACCATAGTATACAGTATCATATACTTGAATCCCAGATGGGACAGTATTTAAAGACAGACAATATGAAGGCTTCCCTCATCAGCCACGCGCTTGTTTTCCTCTGCGAGTTGAGCAAGAAGTCACAGGTCACCAGACAACATCCTCCCAGCATTCAGCTCATAATTAAGCCAAGCAGCTTCAGCATCCGCTGTTTTCACTCTGGATCCTCTTCGCTGGGGTCGGCAGAAAAAAAAAATTGTTGGAAAGGGAAGCATAAAAGTGTTGGAAGCAGCACAGCAAGTCAAAGGATCGGTCAGCTCTTCCCGCTGGAGATTCCCCCACTCCCTTATATCCAAACAATCCCAAGTGGGCCTCAGGAGAAGGATGACAGGGTGTAACCGGTGAGGCCACGGAGATGATTATCACCCCAGACACCTTCTTATCCAGTCTGTATTAACTGTTATCACAGACACTAACCACTTTCCCCTTCCCCGGGTTTGTTTAACTGCTCTGGCAGTTAAATATTTTTATATGGTGCTGTGTATATTTACTCGTATCTGCAGAGGGCGCATACATGGGCCGGCTGTGGTCTGGAAGTGGGCTTTTTTGGAAAAACAAATAAAAAGAAGTGCTGAATTTTTGAGTTGTGTTGCAAATGTACTGGTGTAATAGCTAAAACTTTATTATACTGGTTGTTGGGACTTAATAGTTAGACTATCTTGGGTTATGAAGTAGACTTCTTTCTCATTTCTCCGTTTATTTACTTGCAGGTACTTGTTATAATTTTCTGAAAGAAAGAAAAGGGAAAAAACACTGAATGCATGTTATTTACTTCAAGATCTTTACTTTAAGATTTACTTCAAGAAAATTAGCTATGGTTTACACCAGTTAAATAAATATGAAAAATAAAAACAAACAAGGTAACCACAAATTGACCATGGTTAAACAAATATCAGCTGATAATAGCAGTTATTACACTTTTACTGTAATAAAACCATAATTACTTTTCATAAGGGTATAAAGCCGATTGTTTGCCTGAAGGTGTCTTCAATTGAGCTCCAAAAGTAAACACAATTGATGTTTATGACCTGGCCTTGACATTAACTTTTTTGATCACCAGCCACTGTGGCTTATAGATTTTCATTGTTACCAGCCACTCGCCATTTTCACTAGCCACAATTTTGTTGCTGAGAAAATATATTTTATATGCATAAATTTGACATTGGCAAGCTAAAATCACTTTATTTAGACTTTGTGTTATTTTCTCATGCCTCCTCATTCATTTCACTTTTTTTTTTTTGTTGTGTATGAACTTGGTTAATGTGCATAAGCAAATAAGTTATGGTTTCATAGTGTCGGATTGCAATTAGTTTTTATTTCACATGACTTTTCAGGGCTCAACACTAAGGATTTGCCCAACGTATCTCTGACCACACCAAAAATAAATACATAAATAAATAATTATTTCTTTACCACAAATTTCAAATGATGTGTCAAAACAAGCAAAATGTCGCTGTATACATGCTTTTTGATTCAACAAAACCTCTCTTTAAAAAAATTTGACATTTGAAAAAAGATTTATTGCGATGTATCTACAACTATAGGTGATGATGAAAGATGATCACGTGCACACGGTTTAGGCTCATACATAATCTGTTTAATGAAAAGTTTAAAGGGTAAGCGCCAACTGTAGCAGCTTACAAAATGACATTTTTTAAAAACATCTGGAGCTCTTGAAAGCAGCAGGAATGTGAGTGCAGGAGCATCGCTTTTTGTCCAGTCTATTGCAAAAAGAACCGATTGCACCAGTTGCATTTTCAGGCACGGTTACTTTGGGGAAGGTAGCAAGAGCGCACGCTTTTTTAACAGTTACGCGCATCACATCACTTCGGCACGCGGATCATCCTCTCACTTGGTGTTCACTTGCTTTCTTTTGCTCGAGTGAACGTTATTTTTGTTAGTCGTGCTGCTTCTCGATTCTAAGCCCACATTTGCACGCATATTAAGCTATACCTGTTGTCGAACCTTACTTTTGAGAAAACTACAACTTAAAAATCATTTTCAACTAGCCAAAGTGGCTAGTTGGAGTGACTGACCCACCACAGCTTAAATCTACCCACATTTGGCGGGTTTGCGGGGATTAATGTCAAGCCCTGTTCATGACCTATGCAAATTGATATCAATACTGATACTGAAGTTTTTTTCTTCTTCGGACATACATTTTGATAATAAAATGGAATTAAAAAAATGCCTAGGCTAGCTGGCTACCTTAAATGTCCATAAATACTGCCTTCTGCTCATACCGTTGTTAGCATTGTCTCTGCTAAATGGATGCAATGACACCAGTTGTCTAGTGTTTTTGACATTAAAAACCTGTGGTTGAAAGGTAAAATGCAGTCATTTATATTGTCATGTTAAAAAAGTTGGGATTCAAAGTTGGGAATTTCATGATTTTCCATATTAGGACAATAAAAAAAACAACTATATGGTCCTTGGAAGGTCATAAAATTTGGAAGGTAAAACCTCAGTTAATCAACATCACATGAATATTTAAATATATTTATTTGAAAAAAATATACAAATGCACACACATCACTTTACCTGGCTGCTCAGCCAAACTGTTAAAGTGCAAAGTATATACTCAAAAAGGTATATACTCAATTTAAATTTAATAAATTAAAAAGGCTGATACAAGGCAAACCAATTGTATCGCCTTGTATCAGCCCTTTTAATTTAATAAATTGGTATTTTTGGAGCTTTGGTGTTGCTGTTATTATTTATTTAACAAGAATAAAATCAATGTAGAAAACCATGGATTATAGCATAGGACAGTCATTTATTAAGACAATCCATGTTATTATGTCCTGATATGGAAAAATAGTAAATTTCATAGTGTAACTTTTCACTTGATGCATATGTTTGAATGTGAGATCTCAAGATGAAGCAGTAACACAGTTTCTTTCGCCAACCTGATTTTACCAAGTGTTCATGGATCATGGATAAACCACATGTTCCTAGATTAACATCTATGTTGATCTTGGAACAACATTCTAATCAGCCATTCAGAATTAAGTGATATGTTTACTGTTTATGTTAAGTTTAGGTTTACCGTTTGTACACAGTTTATAAATGGTTAAACACTTCTACATGATTGTTATCCAACTATTTACAGTTATGGTTAGGTTTAGGGGTAAGGAATATGTATGGATTACCTTTTAGAACATGATGATGTTCCAGGATCAACATAGATGTTAATCCAGGATCGCATCGTACTTGGCAAAATCATGATGTGCCAGTTTTGTTGTTGCGAGAAGTGCTGTATCAAGCAAAACTGTGACAATCAACACTATTTTCTTTCGTTTTACCGTTGATTGAGTCAGTAGTTTATTGGAGCACAACTGAAATTGAGTTTATTGCCAGTAGAAGTTTTGAAACTGTTCGTTGCATCTTCAAACAGCTCTTCAATTCTCACAAAGTGAATATTTGTGTCTCTATTCTTGTTTAGGAGATGGAGAGGACTTTTCTGTTTTTGCCTCTGATGACCTGGAAGAAATTGGTGGAGTGTCTGATGCAGATCTGCTCCCATTGGCCCCTGTTGATGATCTTCCCTCTCCCGGCCTATCGGGTGATGCGGTTTCCCCAGTCACCCCTTCTCCCTACTACCCATCGTTCCACACTTCAATGTACCAACCCAACGATGCGGTCGAAGCGGTTCCCCCAGACTTTGAGCTCCGTGAGTCTGCCGCTTTCAGAGGAAACCTGGGTGTCTGGACCCGCAGGAGACTGGAGGTGGGAGAACGTCTGGGACCCGATGAGGGAACGTCAAGACACAGCCTGGAAAACGCCACCCAGGGATGGGAGGTAGGATCAGACGATGAATTTTAGATGTGTTCTCCTACAGCAGCCTGATAACAGCCTTTTTCCAGATAAGAAAATCCTCACACAGTTGGAGACAAAGAGTGTAGATAAGGTGGAGTCATGGGCCGCTGTTATGACTGAGGGTTTCACTGTCATCAGTAGTAAGGCGATAGTGATTAACCCCGGCCTTCATGTTTTATGGTGAAGCATCTTGACTCGGCTCTGTGATCTCGCACTAACCCCAGTTAGCAGTTGCTATAATCCCATTAGTCACAATTACTAGACAGGCTATCGGTCAATGTTATGCCAATTACATAATATAAATGTCCTTGAAAGTCTTTTTTTATGCCACTTGGGTCTCAAAATATGTTCAGAAGATTTCACACACTAATTTGTCACACCAAAGTAGGGCCGTGCACTATTTCTGGAGTTATCAGAAAATGTCATTCAAACTGTAATAATAAAAGGGAAACAATTTACATTTATAGAACTAAAACAAAAAGAAGAAAAGAGTTTTTTAAATATACATATTTATTAAAGTTCTGTAAAAATGTAAAAAGTATTTCAGGTTAAAAGTTTTATAGCTTTTGAAGACAGACAGACAGATAGATGGATGGTTGAATGTTATCTGTTTGCTGATGGAATTAGATGGATCAGTGAATGGATGAATAGAGGCTATCTGTTGGATGGACGATGGATGGATGGATGGATGGATGGATGCATGGATGGATGGGTGGATGGATGGATACTATCGGCTTAATGAATTTTTAGATGGATGGATGGATGGACACTATTTGTTAGTTGATAATAGATGGATGGTTGGATGGACGGATGGATGGATGGATGATGGATAAATAATGTCTGTTGGATGGATGATAGATAGATGGATGGATGGAAACTATCAGCTGAATGGATGGTTTGATGGAAGGATGGATAGATGGGCAGATGCACGGACGGATATATGGATGGATACTATCTGTTGGATGGATAGATGGATGGATGGATGAATACTGTCTGTTGGATAGATGGAGGGATGGTTGGATGGATGGATGAACGAATACTATCTTTTAGATAGATAGATAGATGGATGGATGGATACTATCAGCTGATTGGATTGATAGATGGATGGTTTGACGGATGGATAGATATATAGATGGATGGATGGATAGATGTATGGATGAATGGATGGATAGATACTATCTGTTAGCTGATTGAATGGATGGATGGATGGATGGATGGATGGATGGATGGATGGATGGATGGATGGATGGATGGATGGATGGATGGATGGGTGTATGGACGGATGCATGGATACTATCTGTTGGATGGATGGATGGATAGACGGACGGATGGATGGATACTATCTGATGGATGGATGGATGGATACTATCTGTCAGATAGATAGATAGATAGATAGATAGATAGATAGATAGATAGATAGATAGATAGATAGATAGATAGATAGATAGATAGATAGATAGATAGATAGATAGATAGATTGATTGATTGATTGATTGATTGATTGATTGATTGATTGGTTGGTTAGCTCTCCCTCTGTGATGTCATCATTGTGGGAGGATTTAGACTTAGCAAAACTCAATTAAAGGCCAAGGCTCATAAATACTGCTTTAAGCCAGGTTAAAGACCATCGCCCCTCTTTGTGACCGCCCTGTCTATCAGATATCAGTGGCTCCACTCTTCCAGTCGAAAGCAGGTCACAGGACGAGGCCAGAGGTCAAGTGTTGTCTTGGTCAGGGTCATTTTAAGCTAATTTCGCCTGTTCGTAGAGGTTGCAGGAGGGGGTATCAGGCTAATTGAAAGTTTAAATAGACTCGTCCCTGATCTCATAAAGAAACTCTAATCCTCATCCTCGAAGAAAAATACCATTCAGTGGTCAGTAATATAAAGCCATTTTAGACAGTAGTGCTAAAATAGTATTGCTTGCACACATTTTAGTGCCCTGTGAATTATATGTGTTCAGCTTTTATGATATGTTTATTTATGATTAATTCTGGTCGGATTTTGGCCCTGTTTGCATGGCGATGATTTAAACGCTAATAACCAGTTACAAGCTGTTTTTTAGAGATGTTTCTGTAAGGACGTAGTATTATGGTTGAAGTCTGGTTGGTGTATGTAATTATGGTTAACTTTGACTAAATGCTGCTGAAAACTTCAAATTTGTTCCGGTAACGGAAAACACAACAGTTAAGCTCGCATTTTAATTTTTACTTTTTTTTTCTCTTCACTAGTAGAGGTCTTACATGTGCAAACATTAGGTTTTAATATGATTGAAAAGGCAGCTGTCTCCCGGTGCTAGATTTACAGTCTCTTGAGCAAGCACTCTCTCTCTCATTCCCTCTCATTCTCTTCTTTCTTGTTCGTTCTGTATGAAAGGAAACGGAGGAGAGAAAAAAAAAAGGTTTCATGAATTTTAATCCATCTGTAATTTATTGCACGCTTGAATAATATGTATTTAAGAAACTGAGAAGCCACAGAGAGAGAGATGGGGGACGGATGACAGCGTGGCGCGGCAGTGCTGTATCACTATGTTTAATTAGCTGGCTGACAGCAGCCCATAACTCTCTCCATTAAGTAAATAAGTTGTAAAGAATTTATGATGAAGTGGCACATTATTCAGAGGGGATATTCAATGATGACATGGACACATTAAATATGGTAAATGGCATTAAGCATATTCTCCTCGGCACCCCCTCCACCTACCTCCCTCCGTCCCGCCGCGTGAAAAGCCGTCAATATGCCAATATGCAAGAGACTGTAAAAATAAAATTGATTTGGTAAATGCGAGTTAAGATAGATCTGTTTGCTTTCATCATCAGTTCTGCCATGTGGAAGAGTGATGTCACCGGCTGGGGTACGATAAAGGCCGAGCCCATCTGGAGGCTTTGATGAAGTGTGTGTGTGTGTGTGATAAACGAGACGTTTAAAGCACAAGTGCAGTAATGTAAGCAGCTATATTAGGCTGATTATCTGTTTTTAAGACTTATTTTTGTCATTTTTGCCTTTATTATGATAGGATAGTAGATATATTGACATTAAGTGCAGTGGGAAAGAGAGCTGTGATGGGATCAGGAAAAGTCCTATTGCCATCATTCAAACTTCGGATCATTTTGAGGCATGTAAACAATAACAATTGTCCTAATGTCTTTCCTGATTTATTTTTTTTAATTTCCATAGATTCTGAGAATTGAAAAAAAATGTACACATGTTGATAAATAATGTTATGGCAGCGCTTTTAACGTTAAATTATTATTAAATTCTAAGTTTAGTTAACTTAAATAGATAAGTCAACTTAACAATTCTGAGTGTGCTTAACAGGTGAGTGGGATTGATAAACCACCTTTTTTGGGATTGATAAACTTTTTTCTTCTACAGGTACATGTGCACCAGACACCTTGTTAAAAGCAACCCTTACAATACTTATTAAAAAACATTGTGGAATTCTGTGTGTGCTTCACAAAGATGAGTGGGTTTAACAAACCACCTGTAGAAAAAACACTCTTCTAAATATGCAACAGACACCTTCTTATAAGCAACTCTTACTGTACTTATTGGAAAACGTGCGATTTTTCTGTGTGCTTCAGACAGGTAAGTGGGCCTGACAAACCACCTGTAGAAGACACTCTTTTCTCTCCATTTGCACCTGAAACCTTTTTATGAACACCCCATACAGTACTTCTTGGAAAACATTGTGTAATTCTGAGTGTGCTTAAGACAGGTGAGTGGGCTTGACAAACCACCTGTAGAAAACACTCTTTTCTCTCCATTTGCACCAGATACCTTCTTATAAGCACCCCATACAGTTTCTCTCGAAAATAAAGCATTGTGCGATTCTGAGTGTGCTTCACACAGCTGAGTCAGCTTGACAAACCACCTGTAGAAGACACTCTTTTCCTCTCCGTATATACCAGACACCTTCTTACAATCAACCCTTACAGTACTTCTTAAAAGACATTGTGCTATTCTATGTGTGCTTCACACAGGTAAGTGGGTTTGGCAAACCGCCATTAGGGCATACTCTCTGCTCTCTGTATGCTTAGAGAAAATGAACAGACTTGTCATCGCATTTATATAATCTGATGACTTGGAGTTCTTTATTTATTTTTTTATCTTGTAAGTTGCTTTGGAGAATCTGCTAAGTGAAGTTTCATAAACTAATTTCGAGAGAAGCATGTGATATGATTGAGCACGACTGGCTGCTCATCTGTATTCAGTAGTAATCCAATCGGAGTGATCCAAACTTACAATAAATGGATAATTTTTTCCGTACTGCTCTATCTTCGTTTTGCAAGAATCCCCCCTTCCACCCCAACTCCTCCGTTTTCTTCCTTTTCTAAGGGAAGCTCTCGAGACCTACCTAATCGCGGATCCTCTTAAATGCTTATTAACAGGGTGGGAGCCTTAGGCTCAAGAATCTCCAAGCTCAGGGTTCTCTCCCGAGAAAGCATCCCAAACCTGCTATTAATGCCAAGCAAATCTAAGTGGGAACTCTTGAAACAAGTAAACAAAAATATGATATATGATTATCAGAAAATACACTATTTTATTTACACCACAAGGATAGCAGTATTATTTAAAAAGACAAAAAGTTGCATTTTGAAAGCCATTTTCAAAACATACTATTTTTAGGCCACAAAATTAATTTATTGTACATGAATTTGCAAAATGGAAAAAAAGTGTACTATTTTAGCTAAAATGTTGTAAAAGTGCTCCACGAGTCTTGTACTGTATTTCTAAGGTCCTGTTCGCATTGCCAATCAAATGTTCAGATTTTTTGCTCATATGTGACACAGATCAGATCTGTTCTATGACTGTGTAAACACGAAAAAAACGCATGCATTTGGAAATTCAGTGATCGTTTCAGGCCTCCTTCATATGTGGAAATAAATCAGATACAGTTGAAGTCAGAATTATTAGCCCCCCTAAATTATTAACCCCCCTTCTTTTTTTCTCTAATTTCTGATTAACGAACAGAAGATTTTTTC